CATCTGTACAGCGTGAAAATGGGTTCGAAAATCTTGTTAGTGTTGGTTTTTTGAATTTTAAAATGTCATGATAAAGAATTAAGTGTAAATAACAAAAAATCATGCCTCGATGTTCAGAACTGTCATCAAGCAAATCCGCTTTGCAAAAAGTATGAATATCTGGCATATGAGTGTGATAGTATGAATGTCTGGCATGTGAATGTAAGAGATAAAGTGATAGTTTAGCACCGTTTGTTGTTTGGCATATTACTTCTTACTATTAAAGAGTGCAATCAGATAACTATATCTGTCTTCAGCAACATTATTCGCTGGCATAGTAAGAAAATGCTTACTGAAAAAAACTACAACTGTTTAGGGAGGTTTCGCAATTAAAAAAGATTCAAGGTATCGATTATCAGTGGATTAATTGGTCTCTGTTTGGAAAGGGAATTTTTCCTCAGACACACTAGCTTGTATAATTCATTTTTGATTTCCAACTCTCGGAAATACTTTGATTTTTTGGCCAATTGATACATGCCTGTTACATTTTCATTTGAATTTACGACTTAAGGTTCTCTTTTCTTAGGATGGCCCTGAATTGCAATATTTATATCGTGATAAGGAAATGAACGGTAAACAAGTGTTGGATTTGGATTCGGATTCCATGACGTCATCGACATCGCGTCGAAATACCGAGAATGTAAAAGGCACAGACAGTGATTTTGTCGCCTGGGTGGAAAGACAGTCCGATTCATCATCAGCAACTGCTGCACCAGCTACACCTACTGTCGCACTGCCCGATGACACTGATTCTATTAAAAGTGGTTTTTCTTATAACTTCGTTGAATAATTAATCTCAAGTGATATAGCAGTAAAACTGAACTCTTTGAAGTTCGAGCTGTTCACCACTAATCGTGATGCACTGAAGCTGCACTCTTGATTCACACGTAGGTCGCTTAGATCACATTTCGCTGAGCTTCTTTTTGAACATTTTTAGATTTTTATTTGTCGAATATATATCGGTAATTAATTTTTCTTCAGAGCGCAGAGCATTTTCGTTCTTCAAGCGTAGTTCACGACACAAGGAAAATAGTAGCAAGTGAAGGAATTGACGGAAATGCTTACAATGTCCGATGGGTCTTTGTCTTGTGTGATATTATTGAAGATGTCTTTAAAAGAATGTTATTAGGATTGCTCACCTAACTTTTCGATCCCTTATAAATGCTTATTAATAGCTACTGTAAGTTGACTGCCGCTATTTTAAAGTAACATCATAGTCCTATAGTTTTTCTGAACCTTGTATTTCAACCAACAATAGTAATTTTGCCCGAATTCATTTGTAGCTTATTATGATTACTTAAGGCTTCAGAGACATTTTTCTCCCATTGTTACGAAACGCCTCTCTCAGATCGTAGTGAAATTCCCTAGATGGAATTTTGCTTCTTGTTTTCACTTTCTGTTTTACCTGCTCCCACTTATAGATTATTCTTTGTTTATATTATTAATGATATTTATTCCTTTTTTCCTTGATATTCAATCGCCTTATTTGTTATTAAATATTTTTAATTATTCTGCTACCAATTATTGATGTACTAGGGTAGCTTACTTCTGTAACAGATACAATTGGATCTGTTTTGAAGTGGATGGAGGCTTTTAAGAGAGACACTAAATAGCCTAATTCTTGAATTTGTGGGCAAGGCAAACGCCATAAATATGGCTTTGCTAATGAAAACTATCGATTTTTACAATACTTTAGTGTCACTTTTGCACCTTTTTAATAATCGTTGTTACTTTTTCGAAATCCATCTTATTTTGCGTTTACTTCAGTGGAAAGTGAAAAAACTATTGTTTATTTTTTGCTATGCCAACAGATGATTAAAACTGGCATGGAGGTTGTAACCTTTAAGATGCAATAAAGAATTGAGAATGTATTCTCTCAAGCTTCTTACATCGATAAAAGTTTGGATTGCTGGATTGTTTTGGGGTAGGACAATGAGATAACGTGCACAGGAAGTGTAAGGCTGGTTTTATCTTGTATACTTCTGAGAAAGAATCATACTCTAAAAGTGTTCTCAGTTGTGAAAAAGAGGGTGAGATTTTAACAGCGTCGAATTAAAAGAATTCAGAGTAAGCGATTCCGAATTCACGGTAAGAAAGGGTTTGGAACTGGTCATCCTCGCTAGAATTGCATGTTGAGTCAGCGGAAAACGGGATCGCGAGTTTCCATGGGACATTGTACTCATAGCTGTAGTGAGGATTCCTGTTGATTCTAATTTTCCTGATGATAAAATGTCGCGGTTGAAATCTGAAAATGAAAATATAGTTTCAATTTTCAAAAAATTATGACTTGTGCGTAAATCAATCTTAAATGTTTAAAAATTTAACATGGCACTCAATCATTACCCGCAAAATTTCATTAACAATCGGTCAGACGTACGGACATTTGTTTGAATTTGACGTACCGAACAATATCATCATTGCGACATCTAGCAGTTGGATAAAATAAATTTGATGTTTCAGCACGATATAGTCTAACTCACTTATAGATGGAATGAATAGTTAACGTTTGTCTAAGTTTTACTTTTCAGTCTTGCCAGATTAGTTTATTAATTTGTTTCAGCTCTTTCGAATAAATAGCTTCAAATAATCATACATTTCATCATGTGAATAGCAGATTGAGGAGCAGTTGAAAGGACTGAAATTAAGGATACACATATGAAACCCCTTACCTTGCTAATCGAAGTAGAAATTACAACAACTATGATATTTATATTTAGTCATTGTTGGCTCAGGAAGCTACGGCAGGAAATATCCATTTACTTCTGAAATGTTATTTTAGATATTGTTTAGTGGAGAACAACTCAAAACACTTTTTTTCCCAGAATATCAAAACCAAATAATTAAAATCCTAAATTAAGCCAAGACTTCATTTTTGAAAACGGACTAAAGTCTAAATTAGATTAAACTTCGATTTGTTCGATATGTGATCGTTTCGTTTCATAATAACGTAAAGGCATCGCAATGAAGGGCCAACCTCCAATTTCGATAAGAATTTTTCGAATGTGTAAAGTGGAATAGCAAAACAAAACTAATATTTCTATCCGGAATTGATCAATAAATGTGTACAGTGCTGTTATGAATACATGAGTGAAACGTGTTGATTTAATGGATATTTTGTTAGACAATTACCAGCAATGAAACTTAATTTTGGATTATTTGAGATGGAAATCTCAAGAAGATGGATCCAGTTTCCAAAAAAACGATAAAAATCCTTGTTCAACTTTGTCATCCGCCAAAAGAACACCTGACTTCATTCATACCTCTCTATTTCAAACGCTTACTATTTGTTCATATTTAAATTCTGTTTGCACAATGTCCCATGGCCGAGCCACCTTTTTAGTTTCTGCAACAGATATCGTTCCACGTCTTGCTATTGACGGGGTTGCGTGGACGTTACGTACGTGCTAACGTCAGTTCGATTTGTTTCCGATCTCACTGTTAACAATGGCTGATCCGTTGAAATTGCTACATGAATATGCTGTTGGACGACGTACTATGCGAGAAATCAAAAACGTTTGTTTTTCTTTCATCAATTTTCCTCAGCTGTCAATGTAGTATTGGGAGTTAGTTTGTTATTTGACGTAAATTGTCTGGAATAATTGGGCTCCAGTACGAAAGAAGGTGCACTGAAAAATGCATAACATAATGGTAGTAATGATTTGATACTAATGATTCCCACTATCAAACTTTTGTAATGGTTCTAGAAAGGGAAGGTTTAGATGTGTAATTATACTAGTGATTTCAGGGCAATCAGCGTTATTATGTATTTGGTGATGCAGCATATCGACGTGACGTAAAGACGAACCTAATGGTATACGGTAGACAGAATGAGTATTATACGTTGGAATCATTACTATTACTATGGGAAAACCGAGAAATGCAGCACACTGCTTATGTTAAGGATGCTTCTGGTAAAGGAATACAATGTGTCACCAGGCCTGATAGGTATATTTCTTATTTAAATCTCGAGCTGTCAGCAGATGAATGTGTTTTTTTCTCTTCATTTTTGAGTTCAGAACAAAAAGAACAAGAATCAATTCTTCACTGAGTTTAGATGTCACTTTATGACAAGATTTGTTTATTACTACGTGTATTTCTGAGTCTTTTCTAAAGTTATTTTCTCGCTTCCCATATTTTTGTGGTTCTCTTAAGATAGGATCGTTTTGACGATCGTTCTCGGGATTTTGGAATTTTATTTCCGATGTTTTCAAATTCTACGTTCTATTTCTAAACAGGCTTGAAATTTTCATTTCATCTTTCTGAAACTTCCTCGAATTTCTATTTTTCTAAATGAAAAAAAAACATCTCTAAACTTTTAATTGAACTTTTAAAATTGCTTTCCTGAAAAACCATCGGAAGAGTAACTGGTAGATTATCTAGAGTAATTGGTATATTCATTGGGAGTTGTGGTATTTCAGCTCTTTAAAACTTTATCCTTTTAAATCCAGACGTGAACTTCTGGCATATCTCAAAGGTGAACGTGAACAACCACCACAAACAGTGGACTTGCTGGCACCTATCCCAGCACCAATTCCTGTCTCTCGACTTATTGATCAAAATGAACCCGAAGTGAAAAAAGCTCGTTATGACGGTGAAGAAAATCGGTTGGTGTTGTGTAAAAGTTAATTTTAAAGATATACAAATTCGCTACGTGCAGTTTATATTATGCAATAACAAGATTACCAATTAAATAGACATTCTTCCTGGCTCTTTCATTCGTATCAGCAAATACATTTCTAGACAACGAATACAAAACCTCTTGAAAGGTACTGTAACGGAAGGTAGCAAAAGTGATGATGTGGAAGGGGTAAGAGATCTCAGTGACAAGCTTACAGCCGACAAAATTGCTGCTTTGAAAAACAAGCGGAAGAAAAACATGGCAAGAAATACAATAAAGTCTGTAGACGACAGGTAATTTTATTTGATTCTTTTGCCAGTTGAGGTTTTTTTTTTTTGTGAATTTTATGGCTTATGAAATATACTGGTCTTGAATTTCCAAGAACTGAAAAAATCTATTTATTTTTTTATACAGATCCTTAAGTACATCGTTTATTTTGCATCTATGAGGCTTCGAAGTTGTCAGCTGCAGCCCGATCTCCCGCTACTTAGAAATAATTCAGGTTTCGTGCTCCGATGGATTTAGATGTGCCTGATGTAAGTGAAGATGCTCTAGACCGTGAACTGAAAGGCAAAGAACGGGTGTGGAGGAATCGAACAAGTGTCATGGAAGCAGCATCTAAAGAGTTCACTTCAATCCTCTCTATTTTGCATAGCTTTAAAGTATGTAGGCCTAAGCACACTAATTTTTCTAGTTATATATGATATAACATTTTTTTGATTACTGTTCGAATTGTAGTGAATTCCTGTATTTACTTTCATTACAAGTTTCCAGCTACGAGAAGAGGCAGCACAACGTCAAAAATCGGCAGCTCCTCCACCAAGAACAACGTCGAACGATCGGACCAGGACACAGCCAGCTGGCTATTCTCGTTACGATCAGGAGAAATTTAACAAAGACCAAACGGCTGGTTTCAAGATCGAAACCGGACTTACTTTCCAAGGTTTTGCATTGGAATTTATAGAAGTAGTTTTTGGCTGTTCTGAATTTTGTTTTGAAGCGAGAATCTATGACAAATCTTTATTCGAAAGAAAACAAACATGAGATTCACTAAATTGAAATCTAAATCTCTAAGTTTTTCAGGGACATCGATAATGTCTGCTTCGGGAGCAAAGCCAATGGTAGTAGAATCGTCAACGCCAGCAAAAGCTCTGACACCTAGTGCAGACAGTGGTAATCAGCGACATCAGAAGCGGCAGTCGCGGACACCAATTATAATCATTCCAGCAGCCGGTACTTCCCTGATTACCATGTTTAATGTTCGCGATATATTACAGGTTCACTTTTACATTTGGCGGTGAAGTGCTGCGTAGTTTGACATTAGATTTATTCCAATAGAATTCGAAATTTGGTAACAAATTTAAAGTTATATCATATGAACATCATTTTTGTTTGCAGGGAATTCTCACAAATTCTCATAAAAATTCATCAAGTCATAAATTCCTATTTGAAATCATTACTAACACAGAATTAAGATCGCTTTTTTTTAACACAGGATATGCGTTTCATTACCACCGAAGAGCGAAAAGCGACTTGTCGAAGAGAAAATGAGGTCTTGATACAGAGGCTAAAACATGACGGCGTTACAGTTCCATATAGAGTTGTTGAAAATCCTTTGAAGTTTGGTGACGATGAATGGAGTCGCGTTGTTGCTGTGTTTGTTCAGGTACTTTTCCTAATGGTTACAGCGTTTGACTTTACTGATAGAACTAAAGGATAGGATATTTTTCAACTCTTTTTAACTTTCACTTTATTCTTTTGGGTTAGAATTTATCATAAGCGGAAGTCGTTGAATTTAAAAGCTGCAGATTTTTTGATTGCTAAAATGTGGTCCAATCATTTGGACGAGAGCAAAAGAGAGACGCTAATGTACTTTATTCGCATACTCATAAGCAGAATTCATCATAACTGAAAGAATAGATAATTATTACTTATTTACTCGGAAGCTAAACTGTTCGATAGAGAATTATTTCAGGGGCCGGCATGGCAGTTCAAAGGCTGGAGATGGGGTGGTAGTCCTACGGATATATTTGCAAATGTAGCAGCTTTTCATTTAATGTACGATGACCAGAAAATGGACAATAATGTGGCGAAGTGGAGTGTCAATGTCCTAAAGCTATCACGAACAAAGCGACATTTGGATCGTGCCATATTAGCTCGTTTCTGGGAAGCACTTGATCGATATATCATTAAAAATAAACCTCATCTTAGGTACTAAGGGTATTTGTTAATGAGAGTGGTTGCTATGGTACTGCTATTCACAAGTGTTTTATTTCGACTCGAAGCAGAACTTCCAGAAATCTGGAAGAGACTCGCATTTCTTAAAATTTTATTCTAAGTCTCAAAGTGTTAAACTGAATTTTTTCTTTTTCAAGTACAGTTTGAAGCTTCTAAGTGCACCTTTTGATTGATAGTTGTAAAAGTTTTTTCCTGTCATTTTATTACTAATTCATTGTAAATTGGTTAGGCAACTTTTAATATTTCCAGTCGGTTTGGCTTAAAATTTTCTTTTTTCTCGATATTTTTTTTTAAAAAAAATGTTCTGAAATTTGTTTGGAAATTGGTCTTTTTTTTTCGAGGAACAGGTGTTACTGAAGTTTAAAGAGCTTCATGTTATATTAGATGCCGCAAATATGTTGTTGCTTTATAGCTTTTTCTCCTATTTTTTGAAAATGACATTGTTTCAAATGGACTCATCACAGACCTCAAAAGCGAATGCAGTGGCCAGATTTTTGTTAAAACTTTGTTTTTTCTGTAAGAACTATTACAGTGGCCAGATTTTTGTAAAAACTTACGTATGCCGCATAGGTCATGTTCTGACTTCCAGTAAACTTCAGCAGATTAATAAGCCAAATCAGCTACAATGGTTTGTCTGTTTGGAGTTGTTGTTTTAGTACAGATTCCAGAATTGTTCTATAAATGTTTTTTGATCAGTGATAGAATCGCGGAGTTAACAGGGTGTGTGATAATGTGCAATGAATAGTTGTGAAATTTTCTGTGTTTCTGGGAATTAAAATGTTCCTGCTATTGTGCTGATATTTTTCATTTCTCCGTAATGTAGTATATTTACACATGGTTTGGGTGAACGAAAATAACAGAATTATAATGATCATCTTTTTTGGTGCTTAATTGTCTCATAGCAGCGAAGGAAGTTTTTCCATATACGCATGCATCATATTTCAGTTTTAGTGCCTAGAAAGATCATCTAAAGTAGTATACTGATTTCCCAAACTGATGGACCTAAAAAATCTCGCTGGGAAAACATACATATATCTGAAGTATTACAAACCATGAATGAAAACATAGAGCATGTTGAAAATACAACTGATTGAAAAGAAGTGGAAGGAA